ACACACACACACTTCAATGTTCTGTTTTTGAAAGCAGGACCAGGGAACTGTCGTAGAAGAACAGGGTTGCCTTTGTGGTTTTTGTCCTCAGAGGTTAGGGAAGTTCAGTTAGGAAGCATGACAGAAGCTCGATAAATAGCTCTGTTTTTACCTTCAACAAATGCAAGAAGCCAGAGACCTAATTCAAAGTTACGAAATCAGAATTTGTATCTTGTCTTTGGCTGTTCCTCTAGCAGCCTGTAGTACACAAGAACTGTCCTCTTGCTTATCAGTGAACTGATTTCCCAGTCCCCAAAGCTATTTTGTAGTTCTCTTCCCATTCACTGTGGCCTCAGCTATAATGAATGTGCTAGCCTTGAAAGTCCAATGTGCCAGATGGTATATAGGAGACCAGTCAAGTTGTAAGCTTGCAAGTCAGGGAAAGAAACATGTATTTCCTATTTTAAAGAATTACTCGTTTACATTCTAATTTCTTAAGAGTTGGCTTGATTTATGCCAGGTTCTGGGCCAATAGGCCTACATTAATGTATCACAGTTCTGGATGGGATATTTGATGTCTCTTATTTAGCCCAGAATCTCAAGTGATAGGGACCTATAGTTGATACTTAGCACTCTGTGAGCTTTACATGTAGCTCTCTTCCGATTCCTGTATCTGTAACAAATGGAATCATCCTTGTGTTTTCCCATAGGTGCCCTGGTGTTTACTGACATAGATCAAGATGCTGTGTGGCTCTGTAGGGGACTCTGAGCCATCTGACAGTCTGGGCACATGCAGTCACCTCACATTATTTAAGCCCTGATCTCAGCATTCTAATTTCTCTGTATTCCCCAGTGTATATAATATGTACTTGCTTGAAATTCCTAATATATTGCTTGCACATTCTTGCTTTTAAGATTCAGCATAAACCAGTCCCTTCTATTTAGAATGCCTTCTTCTGATTGCCCTCAACCAGGACATACCTTATCTTTTCAAAATCCAGCTCAAAAGCCACCTCCTATAGAAAGCCTAATTAATCTCATTCACCAGATTCCTTTTATTCTGAGACGTCTGTTTGTCAGTCTGTTACCTAGACTGTTTTGTTTCTTTGTAACTGTTGCTTCTCTACGGTCACCCAACAAAACATAATGATTCAAGGAAGGATGATCCTCCTCCATCCCCCATCTTTGTGTATTATACACAAACATTTTGAAGGCTATTGACAACCTTTTCAATTTCCCCTGAGCTCTAGTCCACCTTCCATACTCTCCCTGTATTCACAGTTACATTCCTGGAGAAACAGGGCATGTGTTCAGGGTTTGGCCTCCAGCTCAGCATGTGCATGGCAGCCTGCTGAGTAGGTCCCTACAATTGGGAAGGATTTAACCCTTTGGTTTGACAATCTGCATTCTACTTAGACACCTTCCAGAAGTAGATGTGAGACCAGAAGTAGGGAAATTTCCCCTGAAAGCCAAGTTAGCGTTTTCCTTCCTTTTTATACAAGACCTCTGAAGCTGCTGTCGTCAGCAGCTCATTCGACACTCTCCTGCTCTGCCTCTTTTCCAGGAGTCAGGGTTAGTTTAAGAAAAAGCCTCTTGCTAGAAGCCATGACCTCGTACTTTTATCCCCTCCATCTGGTGTGCGGCCTCATGGGGCTGTGCTGCTATGCAGGAGGTGAGCAATGGAATTCTTTAGATGATGACTTCTGAGCCCACATGCGGAGGCAGTGGGGGTGGGAAGCAGGGAGAACAGTGAGCGCCAAGATCGATGGACCAAAAAGTCAGGTTTGCTCTGGGAGAAAGCCTGAATTTAGGTAGACTGTTTTCATGACGTGTTCGTCTCCTAGCCCAAGTGGGGGCCCAGGACCGGGAGCTGTAGCATCCTAGATCTATGATTGATGAACATTGTGTTTCCGCAGTTTTCCCTTCAGCCTTCACAGTTGGGGTGCAGGAGAGTGATAGGTAGGGTATGTGAGGGCTTATGCTGTCTCTAATGGAATGCATTCCAAGGTTGAACAGGGAAGGGTTCCCCTTGCACACAGCATCTGTTGGAGCTGCTTTGTCTCACTGTCTCGGACCTAAACAGAAGTCCGAATTTTGAATGAGGGTGGGGAGGGGTTGACAGCAGCAAAAGTTTTTGATCAAGTGAAAATCTGTTGTCTGCCTCATCTTGCAGGGGTTTCTCTGCAGGGTAGATACTCCTTGCCTTGGTGTAGATAAATTGCTTGTCTCGGCTAAAGGTCCCAGGACCCTTGCTAGGCTGAGTAGGCATCTCGCCTGGGACAGGACGGTTTTTTAGCACTCTCTTTCCCTGTTCTTATTTTCCTAGCCCAGGGGTTGACAGCATTTTTTAAAAGATTGAAGTCTCAAAGGAAATTCTAATACATACTTTAAAGGCCCAAAGCCTTAATAACTTCCTCTCGTGACTTCTCATGACTACTTCTACTCTGTCTACGTGTTTAGCATCACTTTAAAGGGACTAGATAAAACTGAAACAAAATTTTAAGTGTTAATCTGAAAAAAGAAAAAAGGAACAGAAAGAATTAGGAGCCAGAGCTGATTAAACATGGACTATTTAGTATAGTGATCATTTCCTGGAGGTGGTGGTGGTGGCAGAAATGGCATAAAGGGGATTCACTGGTGAGGTTAAAAGGCAGGCCTAAGCTGTTCCTTATGTAAATTCTGCTCATACATACTCTTCTAGGATATTTTGTATCGATATCTGTTCTAAAGGTGCTGGGGTGCTGGGTGCCTCCATCCCTAGGCATCCGTAGTCTTTGAGGAGAACACACAGGATTTGAAGTCCAAAGCCCTCAGTTTAAGTTCTAGCTGAGCCACTCAATATTTACAGGACTTTGGACAAGTCACAGAACCTCTCTGAACCAGTACAGTGAGTGTAACTCCGACCTCACAGGGTTGGCGAGACAGTTACGTATAAGTAAAGTGTTTATACATAAAAACCTTTTTACAAACATCACAGTTATTCTTGGGGAAGCCCCCCCCCTTAAAGTTGTCAGATAGAATAGCTGTGGATTAAACTGTCTTCCTTTTTTATTCATTCAGCTTAGCTTTTCTATTTGTTCAAGTGTGCTTACAGGGGCTGGTGGTGCTGAAGTCAAGTCACCAGATTTCAGCTTCTTTTGGCCAAAGAGAACTCCCATGCCGAGCTGCTTCAGCCAGAGACTCATAGACAGAATGGAAGTGAGCAAAGGCAGATTTTAAGCCAGAATTGTTCAGAGTTAGGGGGCCAAGGGGAGAATGCTTACCTTGCTTTCTCAAATCCAGGATGACTAAAACACCTTAAGTAAATGAAGAATAACCACAGAGATGCTCAGAGATCATTTAAGCCATGAGTGGTAAGTGGAAAAATACGCCTATAGAACCCCCTCTTCTATCCCTTTGACCTTTTCGGTCAGGGACAGGCGTATCACTGACACCCCGCTGGCTATTGCCTGAAACCTGCCAGTCCCCCAAAAAGAATGACAGCTTCTGGGAAAGCTCAGCCTAATGCAGCAACTGTGACATATTTACCCTAGTAAACCACTGCTTGCTCCTCTCCAGTGCCTGTCTCTTGTGGAAATCATCTCTGGAACCCAAAGCTATCCTGTTTTCTAACCTAGTAAGAGTTAAAAACAGCAACAGGTTATGAGCAGCAGGCTTGGCAATCATACCTCGCGCAGCCATAAGAGACTGCCCCATCATCCACAGCACATGCAGCACCAATTGCACTCTCTCCGACGTGATCCAGCCAGAAGTTCTGCAGTGTCAGCCACTTTGCTTGGGTGGGAACTGTGCACTAGTGATCTCTTCTCCCCATGCTCTTTCCGCATCCTTCTCCTGCCACCTCCCAGAGGAGTACCTGTCCCCAAACCAAACAGCTGCCTGCATGTTGATAATTTTAAAATATTCCTTGGTTATAACTGAACTCTGTCATTGGTTTGATTTTTGAAGGGTTTGATTGAAATCAGGTTGGTTTGTTTTTTTATTGTTGGGTAGAGGGGAGATGACTAGAACTCTTATGCAGCGTGAGAGAAGCTATGTGTATGTCCATGTATGTGCAGATGTGTGTGTGTATCCTCGCAGTTGTGTGCAAACTGACAGGGAGGGCAAAGAGTGAAACGGAAGCATCTATTTCTTGTTTTCCAACAATCCTTCAAAGATGCCCAACCCCCATAGTAGCAGGCAGTTCCCAAGTGGAGGGTGGGGGCAGAGGCCTCCACCAAGGCCATCAATAACCAGGTGTGAGCTACAGGTCTCTGTGTAATGTGAAGCTCTCCCGTATTTCATTTCTGCACCCAGGGGGCGGCTCTGCAGGATTGCTTACGGAGAGCTCTGTGTCTGGCACCTCTCTCCACAAGGCCCAGGCGCCCAGGGTCCCACCGACCTGCCCAGGAATGCATTACATTGTTCTCTGGTGCTGTAATTTGGCTGCAGGAGCTAGGCTGACGGCCTCCCAGGGAAGAGAAACATACTCTCCCTGGCGTCCTCCCTTGGGCTTCTGCCCTATGACCACAGAGGACATTTAAATAAAACCTCAGAAAGACTGAGGGAAAAAAATCCTTATTATCTGTCTTATATTAAGCCATGTAGAAACCAATGTCCTGAGTGGGTCTGAGAATTTGGCAAAGGACTTAGTGGTTGGTGGTCTTGCTAAGGGAGGTGAGAGAAAGGAGAAGAAATTACTCTCTGTAACAGGGAGGAAGAGAAATGAGGCAGTGAGTGGTCACGAGTCAGACCTACAAGACTTTTAACAGACCCTTAGGGCCAGGCAATGTTTGATCCTTTTAAATAATCTGAAGTCCCTGATTTCACTTTTCCAGCATCATTGTAAGGAAGAGTATGAATTCATGTCATTATTCAAGGCTAGCAATAATACAAGCTGGCCCTTATCTGCAGGGCTCTGTTAAGGCTGGCATTCTTGCTTTTACATAAAAGAAATTGGCTATAGGCCATGCAGCTGAGGTACTTAAGTCATGTGCCTTCTCTGAAAGATTCTAAGATCCTTAAAGGATAATGTCTTTCAGGTTAACCTGGTATCCAAACAGCACTTTCTGCAATGCATTATACCTAAATATTCAAAGCTAATAGAAATGAAGACCGACAGGAAGGAGAGGAGGCAGGCGAAGAGACTGCTGATCCCAGGGACTGAGCTCTATTGAATTGAGGAGATGGGAGCGGGAGAGACCAGGGACAGTGAGTGAGTAGCAGCAGAAGTAAGTGGGGCCTTGACTGCACCAAATAAAGTTCTCGTATTGTTGCTTCTTCCAAAGGAATTAGTTTCTGTTTGTATAATGTAGAATGGACGTCAGTTGTTTAAACCCAATCAGAATGCAGAGGCAAGCTAAGGAAGAAGAGGAAAAATTAATTGCTTGGCCGTCGCTCCTTTTTGGAGCCACATAGCCTCTATAGCGGGGCTTACATAGACCTCTTTTCTCTCACTATCCACCTCACTTTTCAAATCTCTCACTCTGGATAGCTTGCTCTTCTCTTTACCATTTACAGGAAATTGTAAAACTTGGGCCTTTATGAACTAGAATTTGGAGCCCAGGGAAAAACACAGAGCAGTATGAGATGCCAGCAGAGGCCCACTTCCTTCCACAGGGTAAGAACCAACAGAGAATAAGATACTAGAACACAGGTGGATTTAGCTCAGGTTGATTTGCAATGGCAGGCCTAGGCTGTCATTTATGTGCTAACCTGGATGTTCTTGTGAGAGCTGGAGCTAACTGGCACCTGAGGCTCCTCCCAATGGCCCAGCGTACAAGACAGCACCCTCTTGTAATTCTTTCAACCCAATTCTTGAGTTTAGACTGACTATGACCCCCTTACCTTCCCACTACCCTAGAGCTTTCCTCCTCTTAATCCCAGCTCAAGATGTCAGAAACTCTTCTTTTCCCCTCCCATTTCCCCCTCCCTAACCCCACCATTGGCTCATCAGTTATCCAGTTGACTCCACTCTGCAAGGAAGACATTCCCCTGGCCTGACTCACTCAGTCCCGTTTCTCCACAGGAATCCCCTCACCGCAGACCACAAGGGCCCTGACTAGCTCATGTTTTGTGTTAATGGATGTGAAACCGGAGCAAACCCCCTCACCAAGAGAAAAACCACCCTAAACTCTCCCACACAGGTCTCAGCAGGTTACACAAATATTAGTCCTATCATCCAAATAAATCTGCCCCCATGGCCCAGAGCTATGGCTCCCCCATCCTCTTGCTGCCTGTGTGGAGTAAAGCTGCTCCACAAACATGGGAGGACCCCAAGGGGTGCTGGAGAGGAATTCGGGAAAGGAGGGGCCTGCATTCAGAATTTCTTGGTGTAGGTGCCTTAATCCACAGCCTGCTGTCAATACTCGGTAGTCCCGAATTGAAGATTCTGAGAAAAGTAATGGTGAGCTAAACCAGGGGGGGGCTTCAGTAAGAGGGTCTGTTACCTGGAGTTTGGGGCATAATTAAAACTCAATGTCTGAGATAAGTTCATGCTCTCATTTTAGAGACGAGAAGATAGAGGCTCAGAGAAGTTGGGTTATCTTGCTCAAAATACCAAACACAGTCAACTGGCACAGCTGAGATTTCAGCCCTGCTCTGTCGTAACTGCAGATTCTGCTTCTTTAAAATATCAACGGGTAAGAGGTGACCACTGTCCGAGTTACATAAAACTAGGACACCATGGTTTCTGGGACTCTCTGTCCTACCCTCTAGCTTACTAAGCCTGCTGTCTCTGGAAACTCCACCATGCAGGCTTCGTTCGGCAGTGGGTAGGAGCACAGGAGGAGCGCCCCTGTTTAAGCAAAACATGGGGTGAAGGATAATAATCACCAGGGCTTGAAGAGTCACTAAATAAAGACTTTTTGAGTAAATGGGGAAAGGCTGCTTTCTAAGCTATTTACCACTTTGGCCCCAAGCCCCAGCTCTCCTTCCCTCCATAACCACTGGCTCCCGCTCCCAGCTTCAAAGCCTAGGATCCTCTCCTAAGAGTTGCCAAAGCCAGAGACCTCTACCTGCCTAGTATACGCTGATGCCTTATGCGGGCCCTTGCGATCAGGCTTGTTACCCTCTCCCGCCTTCCATGAGTCACATACCTTTTATTTAGTGTTTTTCAAACCTGGCTGACCACCAGAATAATGCATGAGAAGCTTTAAAAAGTAAAAAGCCCAAGGCCTAGGTAGACCTACTAAATTACCCTTTCTTAGGAGTGTTCCAGGGTATGCTAATGATGCACTAGGCATGGCCTGACACTGCATGCCACTCAGTTTGAACAGGCAGAAAGTGAGCAAAAGAGGCAGTGCTGGCTGATACAGGTTGAAAAGGATAGATTGGTAGAGAATGTATGTTTGTATAGTTATGTAATTTTTTTTCTCCTACAAACACAGCAGTTTATAAACATATGAGCATGTGAATGGAACCTTGTCAACTATGGCTAACTCTTATCTAGCAATCCAGGCTCTTGATAATGAAAGAATGTTGTAGCTGAAGAGTTCCTTTTAGGGTACCAGGCAGTCTGCTCAAACTGACCCAGGGAAGAGATACGTAGTTTCATCTCTGTCCCATTTACCCTCAGCCAGGTAGGAAAAAAAGAAGTTCTCCCCAGGTACCCTTTCTCTTGCACACACAAGAAGTGTCAGGAAGCCAGTGCAAGGGAAAGGAAAACGAGCCTTGACCATGTGCTTCAGTGCCAACTCCTATCACTCTGAAGTCCCTCTGCCTCTTCCACTCTCCCTTCTAACCTCCAGAGTGGGGAGTCAGGGAGCAGCTCGCTGTTTTACATCCCCTATCAACTCATTCCCAGGGCTAAGGAACCAGCCAGGACCCGAGAGGCCCTCTGCATTACTCTCCCAAGTCCTTAAATAGAAGCTGTAGCAGCCCAGGGTTGAGGGTGGAGGAAGGTGTGCATGCAAAGATCTTGTGCTTTTGAGTCAGGAGGTTTGAAGTGGAGGGATGAGTGAGGTATTTATGTATTCAGGTCTGATCCAGCCACTCTGCCTTCTTGGGGGCCTTGCAAGTATGGACGTCCACAGTGTTTCTGCACTCCTTGCAGCGCACAGCACAGCACCAGTGGAATTTGCACTCACACTGGGTGACGCGGGTAACTCGAGTTGTGTCATACCCTCGGCCGCAGCACATGATTTCACAACCATCTGTCCCTTTAGATGTCTTGCTGCAGACACGGCCTGCAGTGCCTAGGGAACCTGGGTCAGGGAAGAGAGAGAGTGAGAACCAAGTTACCTCTTAGTCCAGCCGCTCTGGTTCCCTTACCCACATCCTCATGAGGAAACCATAAAGAATCCCTTTTCCTGAAAATATACCCACTAGCCAAAATGATCATCTCCTCACTGCCCTCTGCACCAGGCTTGTTTCTTACCACCAGCAAGGCTCCCCAAAGACCACTGACTCTTCCTGCAGTGCCTTCCCTGCCAATATACATCTTCATAGCCCCATTCAAAGCCTAGCCTTAAATACCGTAATTGTTCAGACTGGGTGAGGGCTCCCTATTTTATGTGTGAAATTTTCCATAATAAAAAAAAATTTTTAAAACAGCCTATAATTTCCTCTTTCTAAGAGGTTTTGCTACAACTCTAATCCAGCTACCATTTGTGAGTATTTTGGTCCTTAGTTTATATTTCATTAAGTTGTACTAAACAGGGAAGTCATATTGCATGACCATTAAAAGCATGAGCCTGATGTCAGATTGTTTAGGTTTAAAATCCAGGTCTTCACTTCTTAGCTGTGTGATCTAGCAAGTTAATCTCTCTGGGCTTTCGTTTTCTCCCAAGAAAAGAGGCATAATAGTAGCACCTACCCAGCAGATTGTTATGTCTATAATCTCTGTTCAACTGAGGAGGGGAACTGATTAGCATTACTGGCAGGAGGCATATCTCTAAGGAATTGCTAAAGAATATCCCTTGCCTTACCTCATGGTAGGAACTCTTGAAGGGTAGAGACGGTGTCATCCCTCTGCACAGAGATTACTCACAACCTCATTCTGACTGATTTATGCAAAAGAGATACTGCCAACAGATGACAAAATCATAGAATTTTGGATGGGATGGATCCTAGAGAATATCTACTTCAACCCTGTCCCAGAGAGAAAGTGACTAGCCTGGGGGCTCAAGAGGGGAAATAAATTAACTGATTTCTATAGCAGTAGTCTCCCCATGTGCCTACTGGACGTGGACGGAACATGCTAGTACTTCTGCATTTGTTTTTTATCCCATCAATTTAAAATATCTATTTTGTATGTATGCTTTATAATGCACACATCAGTATAGTGGGACATAGATACAATTCGTAAGTAAATATACATTTTTTGGAGGTATGTGCGCAAATTGTTTTTTAATGATAGGAGTATACAAGCCAAAATGTTAGGAGACCACTGCTCTAGAGAGTGGGCTGACGAGGTCTACTACATATGTTACTCTCTTACCTTCAAGGGCTGGGTCTTAAGTCATGTCTCTTGTGCACCAAAAGCCTCTTCTGCATTCTGGAGCTGAGCTGTCCAATGTAGCAGCCACTAGCCAAATGTAGTCATTTAGATTTAAGTTAATTAAAATTAAATAAATGTTAATACTTAGCTCCTCAGTTATACTATCTATATTTCAAGTGCTCAGTAATCACACGTGACTAGGTGGCTACTGTACTGGAGAGCACAAAGGGAGAACACTTCTATCATCGTAGAAAGTTCAGTGGGACAGCACTGCTTTTTTGGAGTACTGGCTCCACACTCCCTTCTGGGATGACTCGTACCCTTTGAATTCCAGGCCCCACTTTGGGTTTTATGAGATCTAATTTTATGCCTCTTGAGAAAAACCAACACACATATGACTCATGCTCCGTCCTAACTCCAAAGATCCTTCCCCAAAGGTGCATTTTAGGATGATAGCATAGGCTTGAATAGCACAGCCTCGGATGTTGTGGAATTATTTCTAGGCACTTAGAGAGTAGCCCTCTGAATTACACCACGTGGGAAGAAAACAAACTGAGTGGCAGGAAATCACTAAGAGAATCAGAAGTGCTTTCTCAACCTTTTTTCTCCTAGCACCCTTCAAAGTACACAAACTACTTTCTCTGTTACTTGGGTGGAGTCCCACCCTGTGTCTGTGCCCAGTTTTGCTCCAAGCCAGTTGCCTCTCCAGGAAAGACAGTGATGCATGAAAGCAAATAGTATGAAGGACAGCCGAGATTTCTGACTTCCCCTTACCCAAGTCCAGACTGCTAAGTCTGCAGAAAAGAGCCTGAGAGCCCATGACAGTAACCAGGGGAAGAGCAGTTCTGTTGTGTCACAGGGTGTTCCTAGTTTAACATTTCTGAGCCTGAAACATGAGCCAGGATAGTAACTTCCACTCTTTTGGTGGGATACCATATCACCTTCCAGCATTCTCAAGAATTCAACCACAGATATCTGAACAGATTAAAAAATGATTTGCTGCTTTCTGCCAGGGGTTAGCCTTTGGTAGAGATCTCTTCCTTGCTTCCCCAACCCCATTTTAGAATCATCAGTAGCAGCACACTGGCTAACCCCTTCCAAGGTCATCCATGGTCTATTTCCAACCTGTCTGTCTACGTTTAATCTCCCTTACCCAAAACGTTCATTCAGTCAGCAATATTCAGCTCTCCATTCCTGGAACAGATCATGTGCTCTCCCACCTACCGCTCAACTCACGTGCAGAGGATACCCGCCTGTTCTCTCTGGCTACCCACATAATCCCCACACTTTGAGAAACAAATGTCACATTTTCCAATAAACTTTTCTTGATTTCTGTCTTTTGCAGTTGCATTTGTCTGCCTGTTATATCTCATTTCTTTAGCTAGACTGTGAAAAGCCAAAACATAGACTCCATCTTACGCTTCTGCGTAGCCCATACATTGCTTGGTACTGAAAATGGGTGATTCATTTAAACATTCACTGAGTAGCTCGTACTGTACCCTAGATGCTGGGGATATAAAGGAGTGGTGTCACCTCAGGCCGCATGGTGCTGAGTCTAGCCTCCTCTGTGGGCAGATTTGGGCCTGGCAGACTGGGCATAAATCAACAATCTGACAAGGTTTAAATGTCTGACTGATTCCTCCAGTGGCTCCTCTTTCCCAACTCCTGAGGTGTAACAGACCACAATTAACTGGAGGTGCTGCGCTAAGAACTGGGGCTTCACGTTCCTACCTGCTTTCCTTACTCACCTGCAGCCTTGTCCAAAACACAGTAGTCTGGGGAGTTGTCAAAGTAGACAAGGTCAGTCCGGGTGGCACGGCGATAGCCTTGGCGGGCTGCTGTGAAGTTGACACCATCCTGGGTGGCCGTCACCTGCACGGCCCCGTCATAGCGTCGCCGCAGGTAATCACCTGTGCGGCGGAAGTCTGAGAGAGCACGCCAGCAGGTGCGCAGAGTACAGGAGCCACTCACGCCGTGGCACTTACATTCCAGCTTCAGAAACCGCCGCACAGCCTGGGAGGTGGGGAGGCAGGTAAGGGAGAGGCAGCCAGTCAAGGTACTTTATGTCATCCCCAGGACTAAAAGCATGAGTGCGCTGAGGTCTGCTGCTCCTGGCCCTGGCTGGCCAGTGGAGCCACTGGTTGGTCTCTCCCTAGTCGGATCCCACCCTTTCTTCCGGCTCAAACTCAAGAACCTCTTCTCCCAAGAAACCTTCCTAGACCAACAGTGCTTTCCTTTTCACCAAAGCCCACTTTAACTTTAAAGCCCCAGGATTCTGTTTCACTGTTACGGTACGCTGGCACGTGCTCTAGTTTTCATGTGATTTAGAGTCAAGGTACCTTGCCTTCCGCTTTTGTTGCATGTTATTGTCCAGCACAGTACTAAGCATTAGGAGGTACTCAAAGACCAGTGAACTGACTAAACAAGCTCTTAACCACCTCACTCTTTATGGAGGCAGCTTTTCCTTCTTAAGTTATTTCCCTTCTTTTCTCCACCTTTCCCTACTTTCCACCTATGTGAAGACTCTCTATGCACCAGGGTGAACCTAGGCATTCCTAAGGTACCTTGTATTCTCTGTTCCTGTTCCAGGGGTTGGGGCTTTTGGGGCTTCAGTGCTTCCACCTTCACATTCAGTCCATGATCACACAAACTGGTCACCCCCAGTAAATATGAATGTACACGTGCAGACATGAGTACTGACCGTGCGACCACAGCGGTTGTTATGTAAGTTCATGAGAGCCCGGGCATCCTTAAGCCTCTTCTCCTTGGCATCCACGAAGGCCTTGGCAAAGCGAACACCATAGTGAATGTTGTCACTGCAACCACCCCAGTCAAAGTCCCCACGTTGGTCATGGTGTCGGCCACGGGTATAGGGGTCACAGCTGCACACACTCAGCTCACCCTGGCTACAGGCCCGAGTGATAGCGTGGACCACTCCTGCTGAAGAGATGGCATATACAAATGCTGCCTCCCGGCTACCTGGAGAGAAAGGTAGAAGCATGTTTTAGGAAAGAGGCCCCTGTATGTCACCAGCCCACACAACCTCCAACTCTGAAACCTGTTACCCTTTTCTTCCCAGGGCAACCTCTGCACCTCCTTTATTCAAGGTACCCTTCCCTTCCAAGAGCATTCCCCAGAGTATCTGCCCTCTTCCCCCAGCCCTCACAGCTCTCTATCCACTTCTTTGTATGTCTGACCTCTTTGGCTGACCTGTACTTCTTCCTTCCAAACTCCCTGGTTCCACCCATTGAAGAGTTTCACAGTGAATCATTCCCTCCCACTGAGTGCCAACCCTGGCTTAGCGAAGCCTGCCTTGGTCCACATTCCAGGCCTTTTCAGGCCCACTCTGCTGGACAGTTCCCCTCAGTGGAGACCCCATCCCAGGGGTCATCCTATTTGGAGAGACATGAGAGACATGCTACTTTCCCCAGCCTGCTTTCTTTCCTCTCTGCTCTTGGGGATTGATGAATCATCGCTCTTGTCCTTCTGACACCTCCAGATTCTCATCTCATCCCCTTTCTCCTAGTTTACTGTTTAGCTCTGCTTAGCTTTTTCGCTGAGCCTGGTCCAAGCCGCTGACTCTCCAAATGTTTACGTATCACCTTTCTGTTTATCCCTTGCTCCCATTACTATAGTGTTGGGATTGTTGGGGTGAGGGCAGCGATGGTGTTGGTAAGAACAGAGCAGCCATTCCCAGTCCTCAGCCTTACAGTGCATGGAAACCTGCAGGCTAGGGGTTCGGTGGGGGAAGGTAAAGGTAGGAAGAAAGATGGAGGTACTAGGGAATGCTGTTACTCTGTTCCATCATCCAAGACCACCGAGATTAGAGGGGCCACTGCCTACATATCTAAGGTACTGAGGGTCTGTACCCAGCTGTATCCTGGGCTCTGCCCACAACTCTTTCTCTAATTATGAAGTAGTGTGTGGGAGGGGAGAGAAGGGATCATGGCTCCCCACTCACCACCCCAGGCATTGAAAGGGAAGGAGCTAGGGGCAGGGTGGAAGAGGCCCCTACTTCTGAGCATGACTCGGCCGAAGACAGTGTGGTCCCGGTCCAGCGTGGTGCAGTTCCAGCGGTGGTGGCGGAACTGGTGCTGACACTCTCGGATCCATTCTCGGGCACCCTCACCCACCGAGCGCATGATGTCTGGGTAACGCTGGCACAGCTGCCGCTGCCGGCTCACCAGACCAGGGATATTGTCACAGATCACTCGGGCCCCCAGTGCCCCGATGTACCTGCAAGGTGGAGATGGCCTTGTCAGAGCATCCCGGCTTTTTTTCTGCATTAGGAGGGGAATAAGGAGGGGAGAGTTTGGCATTCAGACCTTGGAGAGGATCCTTCCTCTTCCCCCAGCCCGTATTCCCCAAGGCCGATGTATAGAAGCAATCCCCACAAGCTCTGAAGAAATAGTTAAGCAGTTGCAGAGAGAGTAATTGAGTGGTATCCCACCATTACCAGTTCCCCAACCAAAGGCCAAAGTGACACACCCTCCCAGAACCCAGGCCAGGCATGTGTGTCACATACACAGAAGCTGTGGGCATATCACACAAACCATCGCCTGTTTATTTAATAAACATTAAGAGCCTCACGGAAAAATAAACTAACAACACAGGAGTCTGAGACAACACTGTTAGACCCACATGTAAGAGGCACGTCCTGCATGGCTGGTCCATAAAGATATGGCTGGGGGAAGAAGGATGGAGACAGGGAGGGGCCAGTGGGAAGAGATATACTGGGCAATTTTGAGTAATGTTTACAGCTGTAGTCAGAACCATGTAGCTAAAAGTCTGTATTTCCCGTCGGGAGGCCTAGAGAACACTCCACCCCAACTCTCCTCCCCATACCCTTTGCTTCCAGGCCCCACGGCCTTTCTTAACTAATGAGTCTTTCAAAATCATCCTTCCCAGCTTACAGGGCATGATGTCCCGAATGGATGGACAGAGGGCTGTTTGCAGTGGGAAGCCAAAGGCCAAGATCTAGAGAAACAGAGTAACGCTCCTCCCTATATTCCAGTCCCCAGTCTGCCCAATGTGAACAGTTACACGGAGATCAATAGAGCGGGCTACTAAAAGCTAAGTGGGTTGCTCGAGTCATTCTCAGTTTTCTCAAGGCAATATTTTTCCTTCATTTAAATACTTTAAGCCCTGGATTCCACCACAAGCCTCAGAAAGAACATTTCAGAGAGCAGACAGGAGTGCATCATCCCCCTTTCTCCCCAAAAGGCCACCAAATGAGATCTGACCCATACACCAACTCCACAATCCCCTTCTCTCTCTCCAACAGCCCCAGCGCCTCCCTTGATTTGCTGAGAATTCTCTGTTCTCCTAACACATCAAAGGGACTCCTTCTCTCCCCTCTTCTGAACAGGTGGGGGCCACGAGGGCAGTTACTGCTCCAGACAGAAAAGATTTGGTTTGGGCTGTGAATGAGCCTGTGGTTTGGGAAAGGCCTCAAAATGGGCCTAGAAGTGGGTGAGGAGAAGGGAGGGTGGCCAGTGGGGAGAAGGGAAAAGCTGGACTGTCCTGGCTGTATGTCCTCTGTAACCCGTCCCCACCCCCCCACGTTTGCACACTCGGCCCTCACCCACAGACTGGATCACCGCTGGTGACACCAACTCAAACAAACACAAGGAGGGCTGATGCTTGCCTCTTCTGGAGCTCAGCAGGGCTGATGGGGCCCATCTGTCCCGGGGGAAGGGGTGAGAGGGCTGGTCCACCACTAACAAATCCCATGGAATCAGCGTCCCCAGCACTGTCCATCAGGGCAACAGCTTCCAGGAACAAACAAAATAAACACCCCGGACTGGGCCAGGCCGGAAAGGGCTGCCTGACGCACAGCCGGGAGTTACACCCACTGCCGCGGTGCTTTGTTTGGAGAATCAAGACAGTTGGAGTTGGAGCCTGTCCCTGTCTCACCACCATTCTGCTTCCCCAGTTCAGCCCAAGTACTGCTCTAGGCAATGGGTGTTTGTTTTTTTTACTGGGGCTTGGGAAGAGGGGGGTTGGATGGGAATGGGAGACCAGTAATCCAGCCCTCATGAGACAGTCTGGAGTGGGGCAGGCCAAACTCTGGTAAGAAGTCCTTCCTGTGGTCTGACTTAACTCTATGCTGCTGCAGCCCACATTGGTCCTTCTTGTTACATCCTCACTGAGCGTGGGAACATTGTTCAGTATCTAAGACAGGAAGATAATTAAGTTTCTCTACTGTCACCGTTACCCCACTAAGTAGCTGCTTCAAGATTCTGCAAAGCAGGGCACTTGCCTCCCGACCAGCAGTCAGCCCCTTGTAGTCAGTGTGGGGGCCTGCAGTGAAACAGCCTGAGACCCAGCCCATCCTCCTCTCAATTCAGCAGATGCCTGCAAAATGCCTGCCATGTGCCAAGCACTGAGCTCAGCCGTTAGGGGCACAAAAATGTTTAAGGCATCTCCCGGCTGATGGGCTGGTAGAAGGGTGAGATGCCTCTGACTCTCTAGCTGTGTTTCCCTTCCAGAAGTTTTTACTTCCTTCCCAATTTCCTGCCACACAATGCTCTCTTCACCTGCTTCCTTTGACAGAGCAGCTCATACCCTACTCTAGCTCCTTACTACTCAAGGTGTGGTCCCGAGAACCGCAGAATCAGCATCTCCTGGGAATCTGTTAGAAATGCAGAGCCCAAGGCCTCATTCCAGACCTACTGAGCTTGCATTTTATCAGTATCCCCAGGTGATGTAGGACCTGCGGCTCTACAAAGGCACAGGGTTTTCTCTGTTTTGTTCACTTCAGTATCCCCAGTACCTAGAACAATGTCTGGCACAACACAGGGACTCAATAACTACTTGATGAATAAATACCTAACCAGTCTGATTTCCCTCCCTTCTCCCCCTAGCTAGCTATAAACCTCTTTTCAATTATAGCTTTATTCTTTATCAACATTGCTGGCCTATCTGCAGATGTTTTAGGTTTCTCTCTCTTAAATGAGGCCAAGGATCCTATTTTTATTTACCCCTTTTCTTTTACAGTCCTTAGTGTATGTACATGGTTTAGCCCAGGCCATATAGGGCTTTGAACACAGGGATAAAACTATGACCTTCCCTGAATATCTTAATAACAATATCATTTACATGGCACTTTATAGTTCACAAAACATTTTTCTACACAAAAATCCTATGTGAGAGAGAGAGAGAGATCTCCATTTCACAGCTGAAGAAACTGATGTTCAGGGAGATTATTAATACCCAGGTCTGTCCATCAAGGCTAGTCACAGGAGAAGTGGGGTGAACCAAGGACATCTGATTCCAAAGTCCAAGCTCATTTTCAATTCCAAGCATGACAGAGACACACAGTACTTAACCAGGAGTAGACCACTCTGGTTCCAAAATTGGTGTGAACTTGAGTTTCTTGCCACTCCCCTCCTATCCCTCACTTTCTTCATGTGTGAAATGGGGATAATAATAGTATCTGCTTCACTGGATTATTTGGGGGACTGAAGAAGATAATGCTTATAGGTGCTTAGCCATAGTGTCTAGAACTTAGTAAGGGTTCATTAAATGGCAGCTGTTACTGATAACAATAATGTTAATGTTCCCCTCTCTGTGCATCCATGAACACAGTCCTGCTCTTGTGATTCCTTACATCCACCCCCTGCAGAAAGCAAAATGGAACAGGGAGGCACATGCCAGGAGATCCCTATTTCTTGTTCTATTTTTCATAGATTAAGTAGAGAGCATCCATTTCCTTCTGCAGTTAAAGGTCTGGAGAGGGAAGGAGTGGTTGGAGAGTAGGGGGAAGAATTGTGAGGAAGATCAGACTGTTAGCTGGTGATAGTGATGAGTGGAACACGGACACACAGAGTCAACAGGCATCTCTTCAGGGAGTTGTACAGAATATCAACTTTGCTGGGGTTTTTTCCTAAGGGAAAGAGAGGTAATCACCTTGGGGGCCTGACCTGCCTTTAGGGAGCAGCTTTCTTTTTATCCCAGAAGTGATGACCACTGAGGCAGGCATCTGGGGCCTGCAGCTATGACCTGTGTGAGGCAAGGAGACTGAAATGACCTCTGTACTCACTGCCCATCCTAGCCCTTCCATTTCACAGGGACCGCTGAATCCCTCTGTATCACCTGCCTGCCGCCCTCCATACTAGCTTTTCCACCCAGGAGTTTTTCCAAAATCTTTAATATGAACCACATGGGGGGAGAGTAATAGAGGGAGAAGAGAAGATGGAGGGGGAGTAGCCAAGGGGACAAAATGGGGACTGGGAAGAACCCTAGTTGAGTCTTAGGAACCACCACCAGGGTGCTGAATTTACCAGTGACACTTCCTCATTTAAACACCAAGTGGAACAAGACTGCCTCCAAAATTGGTAAGAAGCAATCAAGAGTCCCTAAAAGCAAACTGCCATCTGGGATGGGCAGTGGCACTTTATCTTCTCTCTACAAAGTCACTGAAGACACAAGTCCCCAGCCAAACTGAGCCCGAAAAGGTAAAGGGTGGCTTTGATCTCACTCTGAACTTTGAAAGGCTTCTCTCCTCATCACTTTCTTCCTTTTCCCTTTCTGAAGGAATGCTTTAAGCCAGATGTAAGATATGGGCCTCCCTGTTCCCCCATCCAGAACCCCCCTCCTTGCCTTCCCCAACACTACAGAGATAAAAAAGATCCAAAGGAGAGATTTTTCTGAAACAGGAAAACGGGGTGGGGTGGGGGTAGGGGGTGGGGGGTGGTAAATGGGGTTGGAGAAAGACGCATCTTGAAATGATAGGAATCTGCAGCCCAAGCTTGCTGGCCCCTCAGCCCTTCCAGCCAAGATTCCAAGTCCTGAGGAGAGAAGCCACAGGGTGCAAGGGGAGAAGAGACCACACTTTGTGGGGTAGAGGGAGGCTTGGGGGGAGGGGCAGAATAAGGAAAGGAAGCGTGGGGACACTGCATGGGTAGAGAGGGGCAATAGCCCAGTCCAAGAGGCCAGTTTGACTGGGGGGTGAAAAGGAGAGATGAGAAGACGGAGTCATTTCTCAGTTCAACTCTCTCCCTGCCCAGCCCCTAGAAGGTGGGGGCAGAGAGAGAGCAGCTCTTTCTCCTGGGAGAAAAAGATGAGTGCCATCCAGAGCTTGAGGGTGGGAAATCAGAAGAGAACAGATATCCAGTGGATTTTTAATGCTTTTTGCCTCATCTGCCGTCTTAGAAGTGTCTGGAGTCTAAAGCCTGCAAGAAATCCTAGGAGAGGATCTCTTAATGCTTTGGGGCTCCAGAAGCCTCTAGTTCTTGGAGGAGAGAGATGGGAGATGGGACCATCTGGGGCAGAACAGGAAGAAAGGAGGAAGATATCAAGGTTCGAAGTGAACCTCAAAACAGATTTAAGACAAAATGCCTAAAGTATGCAAACCCAAGTATTTTGTTTGTTTTAATTGTGGGAGTTAATGGAGTAGTTTTTTGCCTCGATTCCATTTCTAAACCTTGCACTGGGTACTGCTGCCTCACCAAAACCTTCCTGCGTTATCTGGTGGGGGTAGACTAGCGAGAGGCTCGCCCGCCCTTGGCAGCTGTCCCATTCTCCACCTCTGGGTGGGGGCAACTTTAGGCGATCAGGGTGTCCTTTTGGACGGCCACGGAAGGCCCCAGATGGACGACTGGTTCCTTGAATCCATCCTGAGAGAAACTCGGATAGTAGTTTTGCCCTAAGAGGACTGAGCTGAAATAGAGTGGGTCTGGGAAGCCTCAACGACCGGCCGTCCTTGCTCCAAATACCCAGCGCTCACATCACCCGATAGGGAAGGAGGGGCGCCCCCTTATCAACTACCCCCATCCCCGCACCCCTCCGCCATCCGGATCGTCTCTTACTCGGTCAAAGCGACAAACTAGTCTCCTGAGCCGCGCGGATGCCGGGAGCTATATTCCTTTCTGGCGCCTTCGGCCTTTCTAACCCAGCGCCTCACCCTCTCATCCCTGAGAGCCGCACTCACCACCAGGACGTGTCTACGCGGGCCGGCAGCGTCAGCAGCAGCAGCAGCAGAAGGCAGGCAAGACTCAAGCGGGCCGAAGCCCGAGAGCCGTCGAGGGCCGTGAGTCTAGGCGCCGGCGCGGGGACAGGGGCGCGGGCGCGCC